GGGCTTCGGTTCGGCTAAAAGGAAAAACATAGAAAAACCCTGTGGCATGTTGTGCAGCTAGTTGTGTTCAACGCGGCAGCCCCAAGTATAAATGTAGGGGGGTGGGGGGGGGGGGGGTTGAAGGTGAAGTTCACTCAAAACAAACGAGAGATAGCGCTGCTCCAAAGCCCGGGGTTTTCCGAAAATAGGGGGTCATTGTTTGGGGGTGGTCTATATCTGAGGGCCTATTGGGAACCCTAATATTTGGGGTCCATATTAAGGTCTCCCTCTTTTCGGAAGCTACTCTGTGTATATATCATATAGACTAGACTCGACTATACTATACTATATACTATATACTATACTCTACTATACGATACGATACTATACTATACAATACAATACTATACTATTTACTACACTACACTGCGCCAAAGCCTAGAGACGGCACCGATTGCGCCCCAGAGCTGGGCTTTCGGATCTTCTGGAAAGTCCTCACCAAGCTCCAACTGCACCACCGACTTGTACCTCATGTCTGCTTCAGTTCCAGGCTAGGCTGTAACGGAAAAGGCTTTTGAAGGCGAAGCTATCATACGACCAGCAGTCGGCTGAGGTGCGATTTCACCAGCTTCTCCAAGTCTTCCGCGAGCAGCTCGCAGTCCTGTGGCATGGTAGCATGATAACACATGGACTCACCTGGACATGTGCGAGCGAAAGACGACACGAGATCCCGAAGTGAATGTCATAATGTCCTGCTTCACGCCACGCTTGGCCTTTGCACGCTCCAAGTGCTTTTCGAAGTGGTGGAGCTCGATGCCAAGTACCACATCGGAATACATCTGAACGAAGCGACGGTAGCCTCTACTACTGTTCTTGGGGCCCTGGTAGGTTCGGGGCATCAGCAACGGGCATCAGCAACTGCGGCACAACCCTGCAAAATCGTGTTGAATGAACTCCGAAAAGCTGTCAAAGGCAAAGCGCCGGTCGCCAGACTGCTTCGCCAAGGCCTCCACCGTCTGATCGTTCAGTCCCAAGTTAAGAACCGTATCCATCATACCTGCCAGAAGTGACGCGTCCGTCATGTACAAACTAAGCCTCTTTGTCAAAGAAACCTTGCACTGTATGACACGTGT